TGTGTATGTATTAGGCATATGACTGTATCCATATACCTAACTTAAATACCTGTATATCTATAATTACATGTTCCTACAGTGGGAAGCCCGGCCAGCCGAGGCGGGCGCGCGCTAGCGTTTACAATTATATTCTACTATAGTATACTATAGTACACTATATTATACTATCTTATAGTGCTCCTGCAAGGAATCCTTCGCCCTCTTTCTAGTATATGTTTAAGCAAACATTGGAAGCCCGGCCAGCTGAATGATGCCAGGTTGGACTAGATCATCCTTGTCCGTGGTGCGATCCTGGTCTAGGAAGGCTGCTTTACTTAGGGAAAGTCCATGACAGTCCACCAATTCAGCTGGGCTACACCCTTCCAAAGCAGATTGTGGAGGCCGTCGTGGAATCCGTAGGACCCCTTCGATGGCCTGTGCTGTGACAATAATTGCTGCTCGCTGCTCCTGGGCTAGCAACCATCACGATGCCGGAGGGAATATATCCGCACAAAAGCGAAGAAATCACAGCAACATTCACAAAAGCTATCATGAATCTTGACCTTGACAAAGAGCTGTCGCCGAAGGGAACTCGGAATGGGCTTGATTCTCACCCTGCCTTTCATGATTCTCACAACTCAGCGAAGGCGGAAGCTCGATGTCCATAATGCACCTGCGGGCTTCAACAAAATCAATCTGAGCTAAAGGGATGTCAGGTGTAAACCACGATTTATTAAGCGCATGACGAGAAGCCATGTCGCGACTTCATGTTTCGTTGCGCCCTGGAAGCACAACGTTCGATGGTCATACGTCAACTGCTTGTAGCATCACCGTATTAACAGCTCAGCGAAAAGCATGATTGGGCTGTAATCCCCTTGGCGACAGGCCATGCCCCATACCTGCCAACTTCGGCCATCAGTAAGACTCAGTGGTCTCTGAGTTAGGCGTCTTCTTGTGGTAATCACTACTACAAATGTCACTATTGTTACCAGTATTACCATTAGGCTGCGACATTAGTTTGTGTATCTTTTGTTTTTTTGTATTTTTGTTTTCGTTCTTTTTCTTGAGCCGTGTATTAATCGTCGCGAAACGCAGAACTGTCGTCACTTTTGGACTCGTGTCGGGACTTCGCGTCTCAAAAATGTCAACAATCACAGGGATCGGAAGGGTCCTGGTCGCGAAACGCAGATTTGTCGTCACTTTTGGACTCGCGTCGGGTCTTCGCGTCTCAAAAATGTCAACAGTCACAGGCATCCGGGGGTTCCTGGTCGCGAAATGCAGAATTGCCGTCACTTTTGGACTCGTGTCGGGTCTTCGTGCCTCAAAACTGTAAATTACAGGAGTTGGAGATTTCCAAAGGTTGCAGACACGACGTGAAGCTGGTGGGTCAGGCCGCTGCAAGAAGCGGCAGGGAGTTGTTTTGGGCTTGGGCCATGAGGTAAGGAGTTCGTCTAAGCTTGGAATAGGCGGAAGCGAGCACGGTCTTTTCCAGCGTCTCACTTGCCCCTGGAATCCAAAAAGACCGCAAACTCGACAGCTCGCTTTGCGTCGCTGTTAAATTTGCGGCGCTCCGGCATCACTTCGGCCTCAAGGGCGGGGTGCACAGAACAAAGGGAACCACTCTGGACGAGCATTGTGCTTTGCGCTCATGCTGGCCTCGATTCCAACCTGTCTTGGAAAGCTTGCCGAAGAGGCCTAATCAGACAAGAGGAACATTCAAGCAAGAGGCTTGAAGCAACAACAAGGACACGTCAGAATCTGAGCGCCAAGCGTGGGCTGCCTGATCGCCCGGAACTTTGGCGGCGGATATGTTATGGGCAGGGGTGCCTGAAGACGCAACAAGGACATGTCAGAATCTGAGCGCCAAGCGTGGACTTACACGGCCTGGTTGTCCGGAGCCTTCGTGGCAGATAAGGCACGGGCAGAGGATCGGGTCACGAACGGGGTGAGATACGAGCAGACCCTCTACTAGGCGTGCGACGTCATGTAGCCAGAAGTCACACAAGGGAGACGCAACCACAAAAACCGGGTCACTGTTCAAGCGCCGGACGTGGGTGTTGTCCACAGCTGCCTCGCCAGCCTCAAGCGTCGACAGCCCACATGGTGCAGGAGCGAGTCTGGCTTTAAGCAAGGCAGGACATTCAAGGCGCGACACAGCCAGCTGGTGTAGGTTGTATGCTTGCACCAAGGACAAGCCGAAGAAGGCTTTGAAATCTGCGAGGTGCATTGTCTGCAGCATTTGGAGGGCTGCACCTTGCTCGCGCATAATGGGGAATAACTGGCCCAGTTGGGCGGCACGTAGCAAGCTCTGCAGCTTTTGAACGGCCGAACATACTTGGGACACGAGATGCGCAGGCCTGGGACAAGCGCTGCCAGTCGAAGCTTCAGATTGCGCTGTTCCAGGCAAGAGTGTTGCGCCGGAAGCAGAAGCATGGGCCATGGCCTTCTTGGAAGGCCTGCCCTTGGCCTTCGGGTGGGGGAGCTGCGTGGAGTTGATGCGGTTTTCATGCAGCAAGAAGCCATACGAATACTCGCACGGACCCCACTTGGCAGCTAAAGCGCAGAAGAAGCAAAGGGAGAGCATGTGTGACCTGATGCTGCGTCCAGCAGGCATCCACAAAAGGGCCCGCCACAACCAGCCGCCAGTCGTCGAAGACTTTTGCACAGCGACGCCAGCAGATGACACTGCGCTCCTTATTGCTGCACAAATGCATGCTAGCTAGGGCGGCACGCACTGAAGTCGGGTCACGCGCCTGCACAATATGTGACAGGTGCTCCACGGCGCGATCTGGCAAGGGCTGGAGGTGCCTGACCTTGAAATTTTTCTGCCCTTTGCAGGTGGTTTTCTTCTTGCGGTCAACCTTCAACCTGCACGAGGGAAGGAGCATCCAAACATTGCCAGCAGCATCCTCAAAACGGCTATGCTGCGCCCAGGCAAGCAATGATTTAGCGCAAGTTCTTCCCTGCTTGGACATGGCAGTTTCGATCAGTTTCCCCTTCGAAGACCAAGGGGTCCACGAACTTCGAAGACCAAGGGGTCCACGAACTGGCCAATTCCAGGCCAGTCCTGATACTGCTTGCCTTCCTTCTGCATGCCGCACAGCTGACGCACCAGGGGCGTGACGATGGCGTCTTGAAGTACCTTCGCAACCGTCCAGGGATCTTTGCGCGACACGCCGACAAACGCAGGGCCGAAGACGTGGCCATGCCAGGCCTCCTGCAGCGCAGAACCTGCGTCTGTTCCAGGCATGATCCTGTCTGGGCCGGATCTCCAGGGTGCGTCCCACGCAGACTCAGCGGCATCGGTGCGCTTTGAGACGAAGTATTGCCGTTGCAGAGCACGTGCCGCTGAGGATTGTCCCGCTGCCTCCAGCCGCTGAAAGATTTCCTGCCAAATAACATGGAACAGCATTGATGGAAAGGGCTTGGAGATGCGGCACCACTGCAGCAGCCACGGAAGCAGTTCTTGGGCTCTGTCGTGGCTTAGGTGCTGCTGCAGCAGACCACATAGGCCGCTGGGCCCCTCAGAGGTCGCCCCGGTGACGTGGGCCCATTTAACGCGGAAAGCGTGGAAGACGCGGAAGATGCGGAAGATGCGGAAAACGCGGAAAACGCGGCAAACGCGGAAGATGCGGAAATCGCGTGGGGTTAGTAGGGAAGAAGAGTGTTATGAAGGGATTGCATAAGCCAGTCTAAACTCCATGTTCTTTTCCATTATTGAGGTAAGATGCCTATATCCTTATAGATAACCCCTAAACTCAAACTCTACACCCTAAAATCTAAACCGTAAACCTTTAGCCTTAAAACCCTTTGGAACCCCTGATAATGGAGTAACTTCTTTCTATCCTCCACATACCCCATATACATGCACACTCTAAAACCTAAACCCTAAACCTTAAACCCTACTGATGTAGGGTTTTGGTTTGATAGGGAATCAGGGACGATAACATAGGGATTCTGGTATAGGTTGTATAGTCCCTTCCCAGTTGCAGATCTACCTCTAAATTGGTAATATAAAACCTCAGATCGCTCTTCCTTCCTTCCTTCCCTGCTGCTCTCTTCCTTCCTTTCTTTCTTCCTTCTCCTTCCTTCCTTCCTTCCTTCCTTCCCTGCTGCTCTCTTCGTTCCTTTCTTTCTTCCTGCCTTCCTCCCTTGCTTCCCTTCTGCTCTCTATCTTCATTCCTTCCTTCTTTCTTCCTTCCTTCTTCTTTGAATAAAAAGAACAAAAAACAAAACAAAATACAAAAAGATACACAAAAAATACATTACCTTACCATTATTACTATTAATACTATCTCAAATATTATTACTATTCTTACTATTACTAGACTTTTCAAGATGATCCATGCTGGCCTGGTCCAGTTCAAGACTGAAATCCTGACGGCCACGTAGGCCTGCTGCCAGAATCCGACAAAGGTCGAACCTTGTCAGTTTGCGTACGACAAACCCAGCCCATAACCACGATGATGCCTATAATTCCGACTGGTAGTATTACTACTATAACTGTCATTACTATTATACTATCACAACAGCTCCTTTGGCATGCCGAATACTCTTGTACTCAGGTGGACACAAACAGGCTTGGAAATCTTTGTCGGGACCTGACAGTAGAGTCGGACAAGTGTGAGCACGTGCATGTGTCATACTGAGAGGGTCACGTTCAAGGAGCACGCGCCTGATGCAGTAGACAACGAAACATGCGCTGAGGGACTCAGACCCTCTGCCATTGAGCCTGGCCGTAGCCTGTTTGGCAGAAGCGGCGGAAATGGCAGCATCAAACTGCTGCCGAAGCCGGGCAACCACTGCCTTGGGGTAACATGGGCTGTTGGCAAATGCAAGCAATAAGGAATTGGAATGGACTTGGCAGCTGCTGCGCCTCCGGGATTGCAGCGCGAGCTATGGAAGAGTACACGTACCTTTTAAGGCAAACAGGATCAAACTCTGCACACAGAATGTCAGCCGTGTCACTTCTCTAGGCATCGTTTACTGTGAGCATGCTCATTAACATTCCGATGATATACCCTGACACGGGCCTAGCGAGCTGAATTTGACACAGCTGAAGCGGTGTAACTTGAACACCTTTGAACACATACGCTAATTTAGTACTTGCATGCTCAATTGAGTATGCCTTGGCGACGTATCACACGCCACCGGTCCGAGGCGCCCACGGCCAAAGCTCACCAGGCAAGGGTCCAGCCTCACAAGAACTGTGTCAGAGCCCTCCTTCTCAGATTCACTTCAGACGCACCTGGCCTTCACAGCAAGCTTGCAGCGTTGCCTGGTAACTGGCCAATCCAAACGCTTGCGAGTTCGCTCCGAAGCCGGCTCTCATGATGAGGAGTCCACAGCAAGCCAGCTGACGAGATCAGGGGCACCTCCACTTCATCATAAACCCAAAGTATCTAACGCTGCGAAGCAGGCTTCGGCCAGAGATAGCTGATTGTCTCATCCAATTTCGTTGCAATTCAGCCTGAAAATTCTGCTGTAAAGTCATAAGAGTCCTTTAGTTTGAGCACCTCTTCAGCATCGACAACTGCATCCCGTGCGATGACCTGTGGTGAGAACATTGATATGGACTTCAGTGTCTGCACCGCCCCAAGGCCCCAGCTTGGAAGGATGTGCATGATGCACAAGTGTGAAGAGGCTTTACATAAAGGCACACAGACTACCTTCTCACTCTGGTGTGACACGCCTTCTTGCCGTAGTCTAACTGCTGCCGCAGCTCGGCAGCCTTCGTGCTTCTTGAGTAGCCAACGAGCAGCTTGCTGGGAGTGCCCTGTCCAGCCTCTGCTTCCAAACCTTTAAGCTTAGCCTGCGCCGACTCGCGGCGCCGCTTTGCCTTTGGCACACCGGAATGTGGTTGTTTGCTTTCCTGCATCGTGCGATCAGAAGCCCTTGCCTGCGCAATCTGAGCTCGGAGAAGCTCGGCCATTCGCCACACGCATACACGGAGGAGTCAACTAAACAGCGACCAGTTGGCTTGTGGACATAAGGACCCTTTGGCTTGGATGAAGGAGCAGTGGCCACGCAACCCCCCTGTTTTGAAAGTACTCTTCGCACAAGCGGCTGTTGCAAGACACAAGAGCAATCCAAGAGCACCAAGTTACACATTGGGACTGCCGCCACGCTCACCAATAATCCAAGGCCAACAGCAGCCCCTGCAGATCCTCGTCATCCTCTGTACTGTGCTTGCTACATTGCCAGACTTTGTTATGCTGCAGTGCTGTAAGCCACTATGCTTGCACATGCTGCTTCAGCTGCTGTGGCATGATCTTGCTTGATTCCATGTGAGCTGATCACACATCAACACTCCTTTCTGCAGCTTGGCTCTCCCCGTGCTCGTTGTCTTGACCCTTGACCAGTGCAGGACCAGCATCTTGCTCGAGCAGGGGCTCCTCTGAATTTCGTTGCTGTATGATTGCACCAGTTGCGAACAACAAAATAGCCATCAGCTTATTCTCCCTCGCAAGCTGGTTGAGTGCAGAGCAAGAGAGACCTCTCAACATCGGCCTGGTGCGGCTAGCCTGTGCTCCAATGCCGAAGTGGCAGGTTGGAGGGCACTCTGAGAAATAGGCACATCTAGTCTGAATGCATCAGCCAGGGACGGATCTTCTCTGTCCACCCGTGTAAAACCATTTTACATCACGGAGATGTTTGAACAAATGTTCACGTTGATGATGTCTCCGGACTCTGGGCCACCTTCATGTCTGATGTCACATCGAGCGTTGACGAAAGCATGCACCTGCCAAGACGGACTGCCATAGCCAGGGGAATGGAAAGAAAGAGCTTCCATGCCTCCGGGCAGACGGTGATCAGCAAGGACAGCTGCAGCCTTCAAGAGCAGGCATACAACGTAGCGCCCGAAAGCGTCACCCAGAAACATCATTGTGCTTACCACACACACACTGTGCGGCCGCTGCTGCATGCTTGACAGCGGGTGCGTGCACAGGCTTCTGCCCAAGTGACAAACTTGTTTTAGCCTATCCGTTGTACGCGGGAACATGCATCCCGCCTCACATTCATGCCCGCACTTTGTTTCAACAGATCCGGGAATCGGGTGCCGAGCACTCGCTTCCACAAAGGGGTTGAAACTCCAAGCCTGTTGAAACCAGAAGCCGCCATGGTATCAGCAGCGAGCTGAGCACTGACAGTGCTTCAGTGCAGACGTTCGTGCCCTGCTTATCCCAGCTTCACAGGCCTCACTTTTTGGAGCCAGGCAAGTTGCCGAAGATGCCGTGATGCTCAATGAGACCTGCTTCAAAATCAAGCGGAAGCGTCAACGCAATAAAACGTCAGCTCTTAGCAGGAGCTTGATTCTGCCAAAACAATGGGACATTCAAGAGCAATGTAATGATCTCAGCGAAGTGAACATTGACCTCCACGTGGGCGCCCTTCCGCTTTGTGCCTTCGGCCTTGACCAAATCTGAAAAGGTCAACAACGGTGCTGGTGATCCCTAATCAGTACAGTAGTCGATGCTGTTGTGGGAAGTCAACTGCTGGAAACCCCTAGTGCTGCCGTGAGGACATTGTCAGTGCTCTTGAAACGAAGCAGGTGCATCAACTACATTTTATCCCTGTATCTAATTGCCAAGTTTGGTAGATGGCCAGATTTGGCCGCGGCGAATTCGGTCAGAATTTGCCAAAAAAGGTGAGATGTGTGAGACCTTCTTTAGAGTACTTTCAAAGTACTCTTGGAAATGGAGAGAACCTTCTCGTTCAACACAGGCCAAGATGAGCAACATGGGTCTGATAAAATCCTCATCAATAACAGCACCACTGCTCCTGCTTGAGGTCAGACTTCAATTTCGCGGGAGGCTTCAGAACGGCTGCGAGCGCGGGCCGCGATGGCACCCACCTCTTGGAGCATCTTCTGTCCGTCTAACCATCCGGCGAGCAGCCCTTTGGAACCCAGGAGCAGTTGGTGCAAGCGGTCGTTGAATTTAGCAACATCATCAGCTCCGCCAATCTTCGAAAGGATTGCCTCCCCAGAGTCATCCAGATTGCAAAGTTACGTTAATAGAAAATCATAACAACATTCTGCGCTCCAAATATATTCCAATATATTAACACATGATATCCCACTCATGCATATTGTTGGTATGTTTCCTGGTTTTCAAGTGCACCGGCACGTTTCTGGAATTTGCTGGCTGCTTCTCCCATCAAGCCTCCTTGTCTTCGGCTCTGGAAGCCGAGCAGTCTTCGACCTTCCTTATTGGTTTTCAGTTTGGGATAGAGTTATTTATATATATATAGATATACTTATATATAAATATACTTACTACAAATGTTAAGAATATTCTTTCATTCTTGGAAAAGGACGAGCTTCAGATGGCTTAGGCGACCCGAGTTCTCCTCCAAGACTTTCGGGGAGTGGAGCATCACATGCTGATCCAAGTGACTGTTGTGCGCCTCAACCAACTCCGCCACGCACCAGGCCCTTGAAAATAGGTGGAAATCTTGGTCAATGGCTACCACTTGTAGGAAATCTTGGGCATATTGCCGGTGCAAATGCTCCATCATCAAGTCAAACTTGTTGAGTTCGCACTCCACTGGGTGATCGTTAAAATACTTTGGCGTACTGCAATCACAGAAAGGCAGCACATCTCCGGTCACAGTATCACGTACCCCCATGGAGTTGCCACAAATGCTAGCATGCTGGTTGATACAAAGAGCACAAATCCAATACTGCAAGCTCTCCGTTCCGCTTTCTGAAAGTTTGTGCCTCAAGCTTTCAACTTCGCCACTGCCCAGCTGCTCTGCAACACTGTCCCAACGCGACAAGTGCAGAGCGTCCGCCACCACTGCAGCAACAAGGTCGCGAAACCGATTTGCCCAGTGGTGGGTGACCATCCTTAGGTACAAGGTCAGCGCTTGGCAAAACAACCGAATTACATGCAGTGGCAACCCGGCAGACTGTTACGACCACCCAACATTGTGTCTAGGTTTCTCCATTCATGCCTGATGAATTCGCATGATGTCTTCTAACAGCGCCCAGAACGATCACAAGCATCCTGCAGGTCTACTATCTTGCCAACACTTCAGCTGGGAATCCGGGGCGCATGGTCCTTGGCAAAGACACCTTTCACCCAGAAATGGTGGCTTAAATGCCGGCTTGAAGATGCTTCTGGTTCGGACGCTTGCCATGTCACGGCCAATGCCTCTCCTGTCTCACCGCAGCGAGATGCTGGGATAACAGCATGGCGCACCACATCGTTGGTTGTGGACTTCTCCGGCAGAAAGTGTTGATGAATCGTGCTCTTTGGGCTGGTGTCGACTGGCCCTTCCCGGAGCCCAACTGGGTGTAGAAATTCAGCAGCTGGGCCACTGAAACCCTGCGATTTGCCAGCTCTGCCACCTTAACCTCCCACCGGCAGGCTTCACAGGCGGATGTGCTAGCTGGGGCCGGGAAGGACCCGCGGCCTAGTGTCTTTCCTAGCTGCTGTCCACACGTGCAGTCTTCCTGCACCCGGCTATCTTCAACGCCAATGGATACTGCCTGCGGGCGGCAACAAGATATTTTCGGCACGCACAAAGAAGGGGCACACAGAAGAGCTACGCAGAGCGAGTTGCCCAAAGAATCTGCTAAACCAGCGTATGTATACGTACTCATCACCGCATTTGTCTTTATGAGAGGATACAAACCGTGAAATAGCAGAAAGACAGCCATGGATAAGCCTGCCACAACAAAACCAACTTGGGCCGCACCAATCACCCTCATTGCAAAACGTGTCTCTTTGAGCAGTTGTTCTCCCATCACATCATCTTCTCTATCCACCCTCCGCGCATCCCTCAACGACTGCATGGGAAGCGAGTATGCCCAGCAAACCAGCACCACCAGCCAAAAAAGGCAAAAGGTTGCGAGCGTGTCAACGGCCAACCTGACCGCCGGGTGCAAGAGTACCGACACACCTACCAAGACCATGCAGACTTTCATCATCAAAGACAAACAGCTGATAGCCTTCATGCATGGCAAGTTCTCCCCAAAAGCTTCCTGGAAAGCAACCAGCTTTTCAATCACCAGCTGAATGCACCAAATATCGCCCAGGAAGCTTACTGCAACACCAAAGGCGGAACCCTGGTATGCAATCGGATAACGATGCATGACATTGTCTCTCAGACCATCATTGTTTTCATCTGTACCCGTACATGCTCTTGTGAACCCATCGATGCAGCGCACGGCAAGCCAATAGAACATCACACACCGCAAGGATTGTCGGATGTAAGTTGATTCTGGATGGTCGGCCAGGGAAATAAACCCAGCCAATATGGCCAGGATTGAGGTTACGATGACTCTGACAATTGCATCTGTCCAGAGATCATGAAACGATCGCCCGTTCTCATCTGGAATGGACGGATGAAACTTGCTGCAAGAATCGAACCCACCAAAGATCACCGGCGGGATCGTTGTCACAGACACAGTCACGCACCAGACAAAAAGGATGCAAATGAAGCGTATTGGCAAGGCAAAGGGATATGCTTGATCCTTCAGAACAAAGTAGCCCATGATGTAGATCCAAAGGGCAGCTGCCAAACTGGCCAAGTAGCCTGCCAGGGTCAATATGGCATGTACCATGAAAAACGGACTCCTCCTCGTTGTTGGTTATAGCCCCAATTTGATATGTGATACATTAGTCTTAATTACTGGGCATTGTTGAGTATCATCCCTTCGTTCCTGACTACTCTTGGTTATTCTCCCAGTACTGGTAGTGACGACTTGACCCATACGCAGGTAGCCTGCCACAGAAACAAAATATGATGCGGTCCAAAGTCCAACCGGCAAAACAGCAACTGCCAGGCCAATGGCCCATCGACATCTACGCACGTGCCACATGGCCAATGGGTGAAATTGGGTTTAAGTTTCAAAGTTCCACTGCCGATCATAACCCACAAAAATGAAAACGTTCAATGGGAAGCAATATCCACATAGTTCTTGAAAGGTGACAGCAAATGCCGTGGTTTGGTTTTCTACGGATGTGCTGCGGGAGAAATCGGGCGAAGTCTCTTCTCACTTACTATGCAAACTGAAGCCCATGACTGGCAAAGGAATGGATCTAATGTAAAATCACCTGGATGACTTGCAACTGCAGAAGCATTCTAAGGCATCGGTTCCCAGCTCTTGGAGTGGAAATTGCTGGCCTCCCAGCCACTTTGTGGCTTTATAGCTTTGGGTGTTTTAGGGGGGAGCTCATACTGCTACCAACTGTGAACGTCTTTCTGAGAGCTTTGGAGTTGATCGGCTACGAGTGAGCAGGATCCGCTCGGGAACTGTGAGACACTCCGTGTGTCATTGGATCAGGGTTGGTGTCGCAATTGTAACGGGAATGGGGAAGAGTAGCGCGGGCGGGGAGCGCGTAGGCAGGGCTTCATAGATCTCAGGGTTAAGGGAGAGGTCCAGAAACACATGTGCCTCTGACTCCAACTTTGTCAACGTAATCTGTGAATCAAATGGAGTCTGAACCCTCCATTGTCAGACCTTACGGAATCAATTCTGACGTCCTATGCACTATGCACCATTTGTAGGCTGGTGGACGCCCGGCAGGTCGCATGCCCAAAGCCACTACGATGCACTTGTATCATCCTGCACCCACCATGTCTATGCCATCTGAAATACTACTGGTAGCAAAGATCCGCAGGACCCTCAAGCTTCTATTGATTCTTCAACAACCCCTATGTCCTCATCATCCCTATAGTAAGATCTGGCATGCCAGCACCTCCCGAAACAGCCTAACTTGCAACAACTACTTCATGCAATACTACAACTACTCTCAATAGACCGATCAGTTCCTCTACTTGGAGAAAAGATGTGATTTCTGGCCATTGGACTTTGCGCGAACTAAAGACAATCCTGCCTTCCCTGAGTTAGGATCGATGTTTCCCCTAGCTGGACAGATTTGCAGCGTTTTCCGGCCACTTGAACCGAGAGTCTCTTCCAACTGGAGAAAAAGCGTGATTTCCGAGAGTTCGCACAAAAAACATGTCCTTTCCCAGAGATAGAAGCATAGCTGATGAAAGCTTTGATCCTTTTTTGGCTGTAGCTGTGATTTTCTGGTGTGTTATCAGGCGGATTCAATCAGCACATCAAACATCATCAAACGGCGTCATGGAATGTTATTGGCAATCTATCATGAACCCTTGCGATCTCCAAGAATCAAAGAGGCGAGATTTGGTTGTCACAGCCTCGGCAAAGCCATCAGCGCCGTTGAGCAATGCTTTCGAGAAATAGCAGCCCTCGGTTCGCAACAGGAGAGATTTCTAGCATTGTAGAGATGCCGCGACTTCCTCCAGCATTCACAACTCTTCCAACATCTTTCTGCCACGTCACGTGTCTCTTCTAAGCAGAAACTTTGAGCTGGAAAGCTTCACCGACGGGAAAGCCAGACCTAAGGCAAGGTGCGCTGGCCTTTGTTTTTCCGCAGGTTTGAGAAACCATCCAACATTTTTTGGTGAGTGCAAGCTGTGAGCATGCTTGATGATACTTCCGCACGAACCTGAAACATCACTGCTTAGCATCTGGCTAAGTGGGGATTGCCGGGAGCGCTGAAGAAGCTCATGGGCCTGAGCCAACGCCGCGAGTACAACATGAATTCTTGATGCAGGGACCCTCCCAGCTCAGAAAGCAGCACGTTGCCCTTCACGACGGCACCTTGCGCAGGAGCTCGCTGCAATGCCTGGGACAGCTCCTGGCGGCAGTTGGCCCATCATCTGTTTCTTTCTTCGGCAATCGGCTTGCTGCTGCTTGCAGCTCCTCTGGTGACGGTGATGCAACAGCTGGAGGTGCTTGTGGAGGAGGCAGGTCTTGGAACCTCAAGTGCCAGAAGTCAAGAAGGCAGCTCTCAGTGGGGTTGACGGTCACTTCATTGCAAGAACTGGGCCTCGGTTGTTGTGGTGGCCCGTAGCGCTGAGCTACTACATCTGGGACCGCCTTGCGTGAAAAAACTGTTGCCGGACGACAGAGGCTCGTTTATCAAGCTCTATGGGAGGGGGGCAGACGAAGGAAGAATTTTGACTGATGAACAGAATGCTGAGCATCGGGCTTGTCCATGTGCTTGAAGCACTTGCCCCAAGTGTTGCATTCCTTGTCAACTCAGTTGAGAACTGCATCACTTTGTGGGCACAGGTTTTTGTTTCCAGTCCTTCTAAACGAGGTTGCGGTGGTAGGGTGTAGCCTGCAGCAATTGGAACCTGCATGGTCCTTAGATATTCAGCACGTGAAACAGAGCATAGACACTTGACGTCTTGGAAAGCCAGGCAACGTGTGCTTGGGTCGCGCACGAGAAGGGCTGTTGTCCCATGCAGCCTCACAGAAACAAACAACTCACCTGACTCTACATCATCCTTTTTCACTGCAGGCAATGCAAGCAATTCTTGTTCCCTGGTCGGCCTGCTGCTGCACTGTCCCTCCAGCAACCATGGGAAGAGAGCCGTGGATATTGTCGGCAACGCTCTCAAACGCTGATACCTCATGCAGGACTTGACAATGCCTCCCATAGGGGCTCCTTCAACTGTTGAGTCTTTCACATTTGGGCTGTACCAAGGTCGGGGCGGCGACGTTGCCGCCTACCTGGGGGGTCAGGAGAAACATGAGCAACTTGATGGATTCTTGTTCCACATGAAGTGACTGCGCCAGGCCTGCGCAAAGCTCATGAAGATTTCAGACTCGCCGTGTCTCTTCATGTCAATCAACCTGCACCCACCCAGCAGAAACAACACAGGGGCTAAGAAGAGCAGCCCTCCCCTAAGCTAGTTGAAATGACCTGAAATGGCTTCAGCCCCTGAAATTTGGAGAACCGCCAGCGCACTGCAAACTTGTGATTGCAAATGACGTCATTTGAGGAGCAACTTTTTTTGGCGCTCCAGATGAGGTGCTCATGACCCTTTCTTCCAGGACAACTCCCGGATGTGGACAAGATACCGCGTTCCCATGTTCGCTTGCCAAAGCCCAAGCATCCGCATCATGGGCTCAAAGTCAGTTGCGCCATTCAGAGGGTCGTGCACGTGGAGGCCCCGAAGCTTTGCATGATCCAGGAATGTCCAAACGTTCTCCTCTGCAGTGTTGGGATGCAGGGAGAAGGTCACAATTGCACGACCATCGATCGCCATGGCACGGCAAATGCTGTCCAACAGCGGCTGATGAAACTCAGGATTGTATATGCAATCAGCTGCCACAACAAAATCAAAAGTCAAGTCCTGACACTGCTCGTGCACAAACTGCATCACCCCGGAGCTGTCGACTTCACCCCAGTCGTGCGGAGCCACTCGAAAAAGCTTCAGGTGACGATGGCGAAGAACGGAAAAAAGGATTTGCCGGATGTTGTGATACGACCGCGCGTCTGTGACAAAGATTTGTTGATACGTAGGCTCCCAACTCTCGCAGGAGCCAGGCTCGCGTCCATCAGCCTGCATGTCACCTAGCTTCTGTGCAAGGAACAGAGACGGGATGCCAATTCCAGCACCAAGCTCAAGGATGCGGACCTTGCGCAGGAAGTGCTGCTGTAGGCCCTGGACTGCCAGCAGGTCTCCCACGTATTTTGCGGCAGCGATGGCCGCAGCCCAGATGGCGTTTCCATGAGCAGTAGCACACGATGAGCGAGCATATTCCACAAGCACGGTGGTTGCCCCATCCGGGATCTCAAGCTTATCAAAGATGCATGCTGGTGCAATGCGCCTTTCGGTCAAGGGCCGTTCTTCGGCAATGTGTTCAGTGTCGTCCCAGTCTATTTGAAAGTCTGTGCACTCAGCTATCTCTGCGGCTTCCTCCAGCTCCTTTTCCCACAACGGCTGAAACCAGGCTAGAGTCTCCTGTGAGATCACATGCAGAGAGCGTAAGTGCGCAAGGTCCATGACGGATCCTGAAGACTGCCCAATCTGGCAGCATGTCAACTGCTTCTTTCAGACTGCTCTGTTGATTTCATTCAAGGGGCTTTCCCGGAACCAGAGCTGTGAAACATCACAAGCCCTCAATCCGCTCTCAGCCAACACAAAGCAGTCTTTCCTCACCCTAAGGAGATGCCAGCCTTGTCAGCGCCCATTTGCGCCTTGCAGGCTCACAAATGCTCAAACTGCTTCGGCGTATGCAGCTTCCCCTGCAGCTTGCTTGCTGGTCTCAACAACACGGCGAGAAAAAAGACAGGTGGGACAATGCTTGCCGGCAGGACTTCCAAGCATACAATTATTGTAAGGCTCACACTCAACCGAACCCTGTGCAAGCTTCATTGCCTGCAGCCAATGCTTGCCACTCCAGGCCAAAGGTGCAAAAAGAAGCTTCCACACAGCCTCAGGCAACTCCATCACCAGCTCAGCCAGCTCATCCCAGGCCCTGCAAGCGTTTGAAGTTTCGAGCGCTTTTGGCACTCATAGATGCTTACAGCGCTCCTTGTGACACCGAGCGCCTCCGAGCAGACCACAATCCGCAAGAACAGCCCTGGCCTGCAGCAACCATGCAAACAAGTGTAAGGGCACAGGCATAGGCTGAAGAGAAAAGGTCCAGACACCTCAAGGCACTGACCGCGCACGCTCTGTGCAAACGCACGATTGTGCACATTGCAACATGCTCAAAATCAAAAAAAAGCCAAGACAAGCAACAGCTGCATGTGAAAAGGACACTTGATTCCAGCTAAAGCTTAATTGCGCTATGAGAAAAGTTCAGAGCTCTATGAGTCTGAGCTTGCAGACTCTGGCACGAGCTTGAGTACCATGGGCTGTGTCCAGTGCGGGTCTGCATGGCAGTTCGTGAGAGTTTCCGACCTTTGACAGCACAGGCGTCCAAGGCTTCTGCCCCAGTGTCAAGAGCCTATCCAAAAAATCAAAGCTGACCTGCTCTTCTGAGGAGCGCGCTGTGCCGTGGCTACTTTAGCGCTGCGTCCGATGCTGCCAAGCCGTGGGTCGCGACTGTGGACCTTGTAAGTCAACATGATGCCTAGGTCTAGGCTTCTTCACACATCGCCTACACCGTCACAGGTCGGACTAGCTTGGCAGGCAACTGGGTGCCGAGCACTCGCCTCCACAAAGGGGTTGAAACTCCAAGCCTGTTGGGACCAGAAGCCGCCATGGTGTCAGCAGCGAGCTAAGCACTGACAGCTCAAGCGTGAAAACCTTCTGTGCAGACCTTCGTGCCCGGCGTATGCCAGCTTCACAGGCCTCACTTTTTGGAGCCAGGCAAGTTGCCGAAGATGCCGTGATGCTCAACGAGACCTGCTTCAAGATCAGGCGGAAGCGTCAACGCTCTGATACAACAGGGGGACTTGAAAGGATTGCTCAAGAGCAATGCCTTAAACACACTGATGACTGATGCACAACTTGTCACCCCAAGTGCAGCTGTCAGCGTGGTTCAGTACTCCGCCTCTGGCATGACCGTGGCGAAGTGCACGCTGACCTCCGCGTGCGTGCCTTCACGGGTGCAACTCTGGCTTCAGAAAATCTAACCGTATGTCTTGTTGAAATTATCTGGGGGAGTCAGGTGAATTCAGCGTCCACCTAGAAGCTGGTTATGGCGTTCGAGCGTATTCCATCCTTTGAGGTGTCTAGGGTTGCGGCATATCACCAGTGCAATGTATATTCTGACCAATCGAAGAGGTTCACTTCGACTACAGGTTGTCACCTGCTGGCAGCTTATTCCTGAGGACAATGTTCCTCATCGGCCCTTACTCCCATGTAATATCCACCTTAGTACAGGGTCTAGGGTTTAGGGTCCCCAAACCACCCAAAAAAACGAGAATCGAATACCACGATGAAGTCAGGTCATTATTGTTTATCGCGACTTTGGCAGACGTTTTACACAGTGATCACTGATTTTTTCAGCATGATCTTGGCCGCCCACACAAATGCCCTTACACCCCGAAACCCTAAACCCTAAACCGTAAATAGTAGTTTGCATCACATTTTCTCCACTATCCCAATATGACCCCAATATGACCCTATAGTAGTGTCCGTTTTCTTTCCATTATCCCTACATAACCTGTATTACCGCCATACAACCCCAATATACTATATTATCCCTATATAAACCTCCTATCTCCCCTTCGAAAGCCACTCGGGGAATCTGCGGCCTGTCCTGTCCCTAAACCCTGAACCCTCAAAAGCAACCCCAATATAACTCTATAATCCTCATATTACCTCTATAACCCCTATATATCCCCTAAGAAACCCGATATAACCCTAATATACTCGAGGAATCTGTGGCCTGTCCCATCAAGGCATCGAAGTTCCAGCCGCCGGGATCTGCCCACAGGAGCTGTTGCTGCCTTGAGAGCCAAGGCCTTATATTGGGGTTATATTGGGGTTATATTGGGATAATGGAAAAAATCGAAACTACTATGCTATATTGGGGCTATAGTGGGGTACAGATATTACAGGGGATATGTTGGGGTTATGCGGATATTACAGGGTTTAGGGTTAAGGGATATATTGGGATTATAGAAAATCGGGGTTATATAGGGCTCTATGCTATAGGGGATATAGAAAATTGGTAGTTATATAGGGCTCTATAGGGGATATATTGGGATTATGGACAATTGGTAGTTATATAGGGCTCTATAGGGGATATATTGGAGTTATAGGGATTACAAATAAGGATATTATAATTTAAGGATCGGGATATTTAAGGGATATATAGGGGTTCTATATAGGGATATTATAGGGATTACTCCATCGACTGTACAAATGTTTTCCGTTGCCTGCACAAGAGCATGTTTGCAGATGTTGCTCCATCATGGCTCTGAACTCTTAAGATTTTGAACACATGGGGGACGAATGGATGATGAGAAGTAGCATGCAAAAAAATGTACGAAAAAAACCTGGTTACGTCTCCAGAAACAACGTAAGCTAGAACCAGTGGTGATGATGGGTAGGAGGACGATTACGAGAACAAGAATGAACCGGATGATGCCATCCGACGCCGATGAGCATTGCTGAGCGAACCAAGACACATGATGTGAACAACCACAGAACAAGTTGATAGACGTCGCGCGGCGATGATCAAGAAAGAAATGTGGAGGATCAGGAGCAAGCGATGATGACAGTATGTGACAATGCTCATGCCCCCCTGTCCCGATTTTCTATGCAACCCTAAGTCGAAATTTCGCACCCTCCAACCGCCCCCCCCGCGGAGACTTCCACTCCAGCCCCAACGAACTTAGTCAGTTTGCTGAGGCAACACTTTTTGCGCATCTCTCAGGTCAGGACCTGTGGCAGTTTCTCTTTCAGCTCGGCAAAAGTGTCCTCGTTGAAGCCAATGCCGGTTCGAATCACCTGCTCGATCGGGCGCTACCATCAGCACTGGCAGCCCTGCAGCAAGAGCTACAAGCCACTCCGCAAAATGTCACACCACCTGGCAGTTGAAGGCCATATCGCCCTCGTCCTGAGACCAACATCAGCTCCGCTTCATCCACAGGTCCACTGGCAGTGAAGCTCAGCGTCCAACATCCCAATCCAAGTTCACGGAGCTATGGTAGACTGGATCAGGGCCTGCCCGAACATGGATTTTTAGCGACAGCGTTGCGAAGGATTTTTTCGTGGAGGTGGTTGTGTTACAGGATTGCTGGATGTTTGATTGATATGATGATGTGATAGGGTTGTTCCACGGTTTTCACGAGGTATCGGATCGGATGTGACTGCACGGTATTTGTGAGGTGCCGGCTAGGATGTAAGGTTGATGGCATGATGTGAGGTTTTCCTAAGATTTTGCGAGTTAATGAGGTTAGCCCTGTACTCATGTGCTTTAAAATGTTTTACAGCACGTGGCACTGCTGGCCGCCTCTATCAAAAAATGCGCTCGTGCGCGGAGCATCCTCAGAATTTTCTTGGGGGATCGACAACCCTCTCAGTGTTCGCGGTGTGTCCAGACGCTCTCGCGTGGAGTCCTCAGAAACTTGCTCGGACGGCGCTCCCGCGTGAGGCATCCTCGCCGTGCACATGCATTGGTGGGGGATGCTGTGAGGTTGACATGGTTGACGCACGAGATGCTTATTCTTCCTTGTTGGTGGTCTTGCTCTCCTGTAATTCCTGCTTGGTCATCGTTTTGGTTTCCTGTGACCTTCTCATAATTCCAGGCAGCATTGCAAAGGGTCTTTCCGTGTACGGTGACTAGAGGATGTCCTCAGTCTGAGTCTGTACTTTGGAAATACATTAGAGAGTCCATTACATGGATGCATGGAGTGATGGATGGGTGCATGTACATGGAGAAACGGAGTGATGAAATGCTGATAAACGTCGCGGTGCTGACTACCTCACTGCTCCAAACGCTTTCGGAACACCCTTTCTCTACAGCGTACAGCTGAGAGCTGCGCCGCTTCGTGCATCTGAACGCCCACGGACCTGACCACAAAAGGTCAAGTCATAGGCAGCAAAGCATGCAGGCAGCACACATGCCAAGCCACAAGAACGCAGCCATTACCATTGTTGGCAAGCAGGGAGACCTCCACCACGAATGTCTCCTGATCCAGCAAGGATTTACATGGTGCCGGTGTTCTAGATTTGCTGCTACCTCTGGCAACGACTCGGCGCGAATCACGTGACACCAACATTGCAGGCCTGCAGTCTTCTGCCAATGTTTGGGTCTTAAACACGAGCAGCCTATGCAACTTACGTTTCTTCCAAGGGCTTTGCTTGGCCGCGGCCCACCAAACTGCGCAACCAGCACGACAGGAGGGCCTTGGCTGCAGCAGCTGCACTGCAACTCATCTCTCCAGCTTCGCTATGCTTCGCTGAGCTGCATCTCGTTTAAGGCCCTTGCTGATGTTGACCTTTGACAAGTCCACAGAAAACGGTTGCATCGTGAAACGGCCTTGGAGTCTTCACCAGTAAGCTGCTCGTGTTAGGTGTTATGTGGCTCCTCGCCAACCTCACACAAAGCTTTTCACATCCCATCTCGCGGGAGGCTTGCTGTACCAGCCTCAACCCAGACCCCAAACTACACATGTGCTCAATGATCAAGTCGGATCAGGACCGCAACTCATCTCTGCAGCCAGCTCGGCCAACACGTCAGCGTGGCAGGCCTCTGGCTTGCACCAGCATCCCAATCGATAGCCTTGTAGCTCGGACAACTTTGTATGCAGCGGCGTTCCGTCCTCAAGGGTATAACAACATCAGATACCACTGAAGAACGCGGGCGTATACATGCATAAGCAGTCCTGGGGATCTTTCAGCGTGCCATCGACCAGAGCCGATCTATATTTCGAGCACGCTTCTTTGCGTGAGACTGATGCCCCGATCGCATATGGGTTTTGCCACTTAGATCCCGGATAGTGGAAGATCCTCTTTCTGCCATCAGTGTGAATGAAGATCCTCCCGCGGCGACCCACATACAAGTTCTTAGGGTCTTTCAGCCAGGCTTCGAAATCAGCATATCCCGATGCACGAAGCTCTGCCACCTTTACAGAGACTGCCAGAGTCCCTGACACCTCTTGCCTTGGTCTCTTGGGGATGCCTTTTGCGCTGGCAGTGCTAGGCCGCTTCATGCTTGATCCTTGAGCACAAGGCCTGCATGAGCCTCATGTAGCAGAGCACATAATGCGCCGCTGTGCGAGTGCCAAATTGGAATCGTGTCGTCTACCTCGCTTGCATTTTGGTTTGGCAATATCAGTCTAGGGCCTCGGCTTACGCTTGGAGCACGCATCAAGTCCAGCACCTGCCATATCAGAAGACGTCGGCTGCTGGCGATTGCTGGAGATTGCTGGAGGATGCTGAAGGTGGGAAGCTGTTCAACCAACTGCGCGAGGTGCTCGTGCTCTACATCACAGAAATGAGCCCCAGGCCCCAGCCAGCCTCTCCAAGCGTGATGACGAGTTCTGCCAGCGGGCCCAGACCAACCCCGAAGCGGTTGTCCGAAAGGACCACGTGGACATAGAGACCCTTCCTCAGACAAGCTTTGACTGCAGGAAAAAAAAATTTCTAGAGCAGCTCTACGAAAATGCACTCTTTCCTCTAGATGCGCGAAAAGCTTCAAAATGTTACATGGCCCTGGTCTGCTGACAGACCATGAGCAAAAGCTCAACAAACCAGACACCACTCCGTTTCAAACGGCGTCTCAGCGTCATCTTGTCCTGTGGCCAGTCTAGGCTGGCCGATGTGCTCCCCTGGTCCGAATTGTCCCGCTGTTCAGGATTGGGACGAGGGGGAAGTCCTGGGCGTCTCCCCTCACCGACTGTACAACTTTCGGCAGGAAGCGTCCACAGCTCGTTAACAAGCGTGAATCAGGAGCCGGACACCCGACGGATATCACGGGCAAACAGGCTGCGACCCAGCTGAGACTGAGCCAAAGCTGCAATGATCATGTTCGTCAGCTTCTTTATGTCGACGTTGTACATCTCAGAAGGAGGCTGTGGGAACGGAGGTGGCTTTGGCCAGTGCTCCTTCCGTTGAGGTCCCAGAGCTTGTATTTCGAGGCGCCACTGCTGCCTCGTGCCACGTTGCTTAGCAAAAGGTAGTCTGCTTTTACCTGACTCAAACGGCTACGTAAGTGTTAGCAAGAAAGTATTGTTGGATGCTATTGGTTGCTAGGACTCTGAGAGTTGCAAGTGGTGGAGGCTTAGCAAGGGCCAGCACGGGAAGTCTGAGGGAACAGGGCCCTGTGGTTGATTGATGTGTTTGTGAAGTGCAGCAGAGTTGCCAAACTTTGTGCAACCTCTTGCACTCCACCAAATACGATCTGTATGTTTCTTTCCAGCGATTTAAGCTCTGCACAAACAAGGTATAAACAATGGATTGGCGCGTTTCCACGTCGAGCCTGTAGTGGTCCTGAGTGAAGCAAGCTTAGAGGCGGGATCCAAGAGTGCCACTCTCATGGTCTTGCATAAAAGACTTGCATATAGGAAAAAATGGCACATCAGCACGTGAGTGCCAAGTTGCGAGGACGTTGTTTGCAACCATCAGTGCCTCTCCATGTGACGAGGAGTCCACTAGGCGCATATGGCATGCTCACAAATTGCACTGCGCAGGCTGCAACTTCGACAGCTGAAGCTCAGGAAACCACCAGATCCCCACACGAACATGCCAAATCAGAACGCTTTTCCATCTTCCCACCTGCTGCTGCTTCCGCTCCACGGCAGTTGTCGGGATTGCTTCCCCAAGCTCTGAGAAGACAACCAGCCGCTCTGGCCTCTGCGCGGATCAATGCTTCACCAACAAAGCAAGAAAGGCCTTCTGCACCTACACACTCTCCTCTAACCTCACCTGTGTACCACCATTCTACACCTCACTCCAGACGCTTCCTGTCATCCCTGAATCGCGCAGGAAGCAGCCATACACAAGAACAGAGGATGAGATGTGAAACAAACTGCAAGTTTCACGGCGAGGCAGCGCAAGAAGTGGTACAGCTCCCACCCGTATGGGCTCTCAGCTCTCTGTCAACTCGTACAGCCACACACTTCCGACTTTGTCCGAAATTTTGGCCAGGGGCAGGGGCCGTGATTAGAGTCAACAAGGCATTTTGAACCAGCCATGAAGCACCCACCCTGTCTACTCACTGCTCTGCAAAGCATTGCAAAGCCTTCGAACCATTCTTGCAGGCACTTAGAGCCAAGAGTCCGATCCGTAGGTCGAATGGCGGCATTGCGCCGGCGGCCACCACGAGTATTTCGCGGCGTCACCTGCGACTCTCCAAGCTGGGTGAAAATGCTGAAGTTAAGGTTGAGGAGTTGAGGGAGGTGGGGGGGGGTAGGGAAGGGGGGGGTTACGAAGAGGGCCTCCCCCCCAGCGTCTCAAACACACAAGCACAACTTGGAAGCACAACTTAACTTCGACGCATTTCACTTGCGAACATCCGCGGCCTGTGCTGCGCTCTTGCTCGCTCCGGCCTTTCGTTTCTCGACCATGTACCCCTTACGTCCTCAAAAAGCAGGGACATACACCTTATCAACTTATGCGGGATTCCAGGAAGGAGTGCAGACGCTGTCCTAGTCCAGGAATCCTGCGCTCTTTCGCGGCTTCCTGCAGCAATCGGATGCGGCCCTCCAAATCCTTGGCGGAGACTGCAGCACAAACAAGCCAGCGGACTGTTCACGCAAGGTTGGTTCCAAGGACCCTGTGGATCAAGTGCTACACCCTGCACTTCTGACCCCGCTCTACGGTTCGTTTGCCAGGGCGCTAATCATTTGGACTTCAACACTGCAAAAGGGTCCGGCATGCTTGAAGGCTTTTTGAACATGACTTTGACAGCTGAGGCACCCATGTCTGCCGGTGCGTCTGAATGCGCTGCTTGGTATACCCTTTGGGCAGGTGCGCCATGAGCTTCTCTCCTGAAGTTCACAGGGATTGTATGCGTAGGATGCTTTCTTGAATGTTCCATGTGTAAGCAGGAGGAGTAGCTCTCCTAGAAGCTGCGTCTCAACCTCCCAGAGAGTCGGAAGGTAGATGAAGCTGCGAACCTGCACCCTGAACTTGATAGCTGCACGCATGGCGCGCTGCCTGAGCAAGCACTCGAGCTTTCAGGTTACTTTGGGAAGTATTCAAATTGAGCCGTTTAAGTACGCAATTCACTTGTTACCTTCCAAGGCCCGCGCAGCGCCCGAACGTTGTAGAGGTAAGCGCCGACCCGCGCACGGAAGCGCATGCCACGCCAGGCGCCCTCGATGAATTGCTTGATAGCAACAGCAGATCGTGTGAGTCGGCTGCGGTGTCTCAACTTGGCCAAGAACTTCATGACACGCAGCAGGTGATCCCAGCGCTCCCAAGCGGTTTTGCTGCGTTGGGCCCGTGACTTGAAGATTTCTTGAAGGTTGCCCTTCTCGGTCACGCTGCTGTTCACTATGCGCTTTGCACGGAGCCAGTGCGCCTTGGACTTGGTGGCCAATGTTGACTTGCTCTCCCCCTGCTCTTGGCTCCACTCATTGCGCTGCTTGCGGGCATTTGCCACAGCCGTTTCCAGGCGCTGGGCGGCTGTAGCCAGGGCCATCCAGACAAGCAGCGTGCGCTGATGCGAGGCCAGGCGCTGGAGCTCCTGACAAAGCATTCCGAGATCTACTACAAGTAGCTTCCTAGCCTACTCTTATCAGGCACGGTTAAGGTCCACACCAGTTTCATACATGTTACACAAGCAAACGCGGTCTGTGCAAGAGAAATTGGATGCAATTCACATTTGGTCCTTCCGCTGCCCCTTGATTTGGACGCTCTTCAAATGATGCATTCGCCACTCCAGCTCCTTGTCACGCACTGCCTGCTGCGCTAGGTGAATTCGCTCATCCCGGACGCGGGCAGCTTGCAGAATGCGTAAGGACCTCTGTTCCACAGTCTCCAAGCTGCTGTGCTCGGAAGGACGGGTATTCACTGAATTCAGAGACAGCACGTGTTGCAGCGTTCGAGGCTCCGCTAGGGAATCCAGTTGCGCATCTTCCGCACGTGGACTGTCGTCTGACACCTTCTCGTCCATGGCAGGGTCCTCGGAGAACCAATCTTGCAAACTTGCGCTGCTGGGGAGGGCCGTTCGCAATTTCTTCCGGGGCGTTCGTGCTGACTTGACGACTTTTCTCAGCCGTGGGAGGTCCACCATCTCACAGTCACGCTTTTCGTCCCGTACGACAAACCTTTCCTCGATTGCTGGCAAGACAAGTTCAAGTCGGTCTCGGAAGAAAGTCAGCTTCGTGTTAACTCTGTCCGGAGCGCCCGCCACCTTCTCAAATACGCTCTGTGCATCAAGTTTGCCTGTGTCGATCTCGTAGAAGTGCTTCTGTGCCATTCGCTGCGATCTACTTTTCAGCTCGGAGCTTTCACCGTTCAGCGCCGCAGGACGAGCGTGCTTGGCCTTCACTACGGGCTCTGCATCTGGCTCTTCAGAGACCTCACCAGACACGAACTGATGATGATTCCGCCGCACAGCTGCCAGTCTTGAGCTTATCTGCTCAAGATCTCCCGGTGTCATTGTCACCTGCTGAATTTTTGTTGACATCCGCCGACTTGAAAAGGCTGGTCGTGGCTCGGAACAGTCAGCACTGGCCGCTTCGAAGGATGCAGCAAAGGCCCGGTTGTGCCGAAGGGCTGCGCTGCTGAGCCCCACCGAAACAAAACGGCCTGCGGGAGCAGGGACAGTTGAAGATTCCAGCAAGCGCTTACTCAACACAGCTAGATGGATAAGGAATCGTGTCACTGCATAGTAAATCATAGCAATACATGATGACATTGGTATGCTATCATCAGCGCAGCTTGCAGACAATTCCTTGCTGCATGTCAGTGCATCCAATGCCTAGAGGAATTCAATGAAAAAAAGGGCCAGCAGGAAAAGCAGGCAGGGCAAGGGGAAGGCACGTTGAGCGTCGAAGCTTGCAGCTGTAAGCTAGGAGGACCGTGGAAGTGACACATCTTGGGTCCACCTTGAAGCTCCTCAAGTTGAAACAAGAAGTCTGCGTACGCCCAATCCGAGGCACCCAAGAACAAACCTTAGAGTCACATCATGTCACATCTATCCTGCTGAGAGTTGCACAGCCCTCCAAGAGACACAATCCTAAGTCCTTAGCAGAAGCTCTTTACGTCAAGCCAACATGCTTTCGGTGCAAGCCCTCGCCTTGATGCGAACTTGCACCGGGTCTTGAGGCTCCGTCCGCGCAGCTCGCTGAGACAAACTCCATTCTGCTCTGCCGAGGGAACACAACAATGGCATCGCCCGCTGCCGTTGAAACCGCTAGAAAGTTCTTGAGAATTCAGTCGTGCTTTGTTCCAATGCCTGGTTCATCTCAACATTTCAAGCTTTTTGCCCAGGAGCAAAATGAAACCTACAGATGTCTACAGTGCACTCCAGATTTATGAGCCTATAAGCCTAAAAGCTTCAGGAAAGTTTTGCACAACTTCGCTCGCACTCCGCACCCTCAAACTCCAATGCTTGCAATTCTGCTGCCGGCTGGCCTAGCAGAAAGCTTGCTGTTGAGGCCAGGGCGCTTTGGTCAAAGTCAATTGTAGTGACTCTGACCAGGTTGGATCCTTGGAGAAACAGAAGGCACCGGAAGGCTTATCCATAAACCCTCAACCCTGACAGCGGCCTTTCATTACCGTTGCTAAATTTTTACAACTAAAATTACTATTATTACTACTATTGCTATTGCTACATATTGCTACTTGTATTGCTAGTAAGGTTGGAGGATGCCGGAGGGCCTGCGTCGTGCCGCGAGGGGCTCCGGAGATGACGCGGGCCACAAAGGGCCTCACTCAAGAGAAGCTTTTATTACTAGTACTAGTATTGTTAGTGCAGTTAGTATTACTAATATCACCATTACTACTATTAATACTCGGTGAGGCCAAAGAAGCCTCAACTCCACTATGATCCGCGCAGTACTTGCTTGCTCTCTCTAATCCCTATGCAACCCCTGTATAACCCCCTATGCCACCCCTGAATGACAGTCATATAACACCCATGTAATCCTATGTAGCCCCTACAAATATCATCCTACATAGTTGCTATGTTATGTAAACAAACCCTGTGCAGGGTCTAGGTTTCAGGCCCTTCGAAGACCGCTTGGTTGACTTCGTGAGGTGCTGTCCTGCCTCGCCGTGGGTCGCCACCTGCGACACCAAAATGCCCTTGGAGTTCAGGGTTTAGGGTGTAGGGTTTATGCCCTGAATCCTTCGCCCAATGAGGATTTAAGCAGGAAATCGTTTGATTGTAGAGGGTTTATATAGGGATGTTGCCCGATGATGGAGAATCAAATGGAAAAGAAAATGGAACACGAAACCGAAAGTACTATAAGAGGACCATACAAGGATTACAGTTGTAAGATGTTGTAAGTGCCAGGCGAATGACTCGCAGGTCAAGGACGGGAGCAAATGTCCAAGCTTCCTGCATTGGCAATTGAGTGCTTGTCTTTCCAGGCGAGCGCGGTGTGACATTGAATGCGTGCTGGGTGCAGTCACTCCCGAGAGGCCTGACCAATGGAGATGTTCTGGATCCGCAGCGGATGGAAATCCAGTTGAATCTCTTCCTGCCATGGTCTGTGACACCACAGGAAGCTGACACAGCCATCAGCTGCCTCCAAGTCGGGGACCGATTCAACCTCTTTCAATGCCGCAATAGCAGCTCCTGCACCAGACACCTGGGAAGCTTTGAAAACAGGTCCTTCGGCGGCTGTGAAAGTCATCCCAGGCCTTCGACCAAGCCGACGCAGCACCTGTGCAGCTTGCAGGTCACTACAAGGAGTTTAGATTACTGCTCATAGAAACACATAGAAACCCTATTATCCGCCGACCTTGGGGGGCGTGTTGGATGGTTTCAGTAACGGAGAGGGTGAAAACCCTCTTCCTTTCTCCCTTACAGCCTAGAAACGCGGGGGGGGGTGGGGGGGGGAGGGGGGTAGGGGGGGTATCCCGTGCCCGCTTCCCTCCAGGCCCCCACCTCTGCGGCAGCCATTTCAGCCGTCTCCCACCCCTTCGCCTGCCTCCCACCACGAGACTTTTTAGAACGATGAAAAACG